TTGTGTATTTACAGTTTAAATTAATAATTCAGGCAAATTATTTTACATTTGACGGACGTTTTTTTATTATTTGTGCCAGTGTAGTGGCGGATTTGGGGGGGGGGGGGGGTCAGGGGGGTCCTGACCCCCCCTTCGATTTCTAAAAAAAAAAAATCACACAAAGAAAACCCTCTCGAAGTTAGAATTTTTTCTAGCTGAATCACAGTTCTAAATTATACCAAATGGCACCGTTCACCCTCTTAATACCAACATTTAAGGGGCTCTTCACCGAGCCCCGAACCCAAAACATAGGAATGGGAGGGGGTCGGTTAAATATCTGGGGACCCCCCTTCAAATAATCCTGGTTCCGCCCCTGTAGTGTTGTTGCCACAATTGTGCTACATTAAATAACAACGTAAAACCCTTCCCCTATGAATATGAACAAGAGTGCTGGCCAGCCGAATAACCTAACAGAGATCATGCAGCCTCCGAGATGTCCATTTTCAGGAAATGTCCTATGCAGTTTTCAAACCTTTTCCCACTGACCCCACCAAGAAAAATCCACCAGCACACAACAATCTTTAGGAAAACAAAAGCTCTGTAATTGTATGTAATAGATTTTGTAAATATTTATCTATTCGAAGAGAGAGAGAGAGAGAGAGAGAGAGAGAGAGAGAGAGAGAGTTGATTACACGTAGCAAGATTCAAATCAGACTTGGATCGATACATACAGACCAATGCCTTTTATATTTATTTTAATTTATTTATTATTGCCTTTTTTTAATGGGGTGGGTTATACTTCATTCAATCTGGACGACCCTAAAGCAGCAGTGAATAAAGGGTACCGGAGAAGATCAGCATTGGTCAGAATTGTGCCGGAAGTGACGTGTAGTGGTGTAAGACGTAAAGCTGAGTGGTCATTTTTAGCTGCAGGTGAATGAGAATGAAGACGTGGGCTTGGAGAATAAAGCAGTTATTCTAACAACACGGTAAGATAATATTTAATCTTTATGCATTTGGTGCAGAGAATACATGGACATATCAGATTATATAAATGTCAAAATTCTAAATGACATCGATTTATAGCCTGCCGGGAATTCCTTTCCCTTTACGCTCTTTGTCGCGCTGGCGGTCGATGCAGCATGTATTTCAAAACAAGTTGTCTGCAAATTAACCACGATTTTGCACCTTCAAGTTCCGTGTCACGTTTTCATATCATGTGCCTATTATTTCTACAAGTATTCTCTGCCCAAAATGCGTAAAGAAGAAATGTCATCTTACCATGTTGTTTGAAAAACAGCTTTTTTCTCCGAGTCCATGTCTTCTCTCCCGTTCACCTCCAGCTAAAAATGACCACTCAGCCTTACGTCTTACACTGCTACACGTCACTTCCGGCACAATTATGACCAATGCTGATCTTCTCCGGTACCCTTTATTGCAAACTAAATAAACATACCTCGTTGGACATACAACACGTTGTACATGACTCTAGAATACACATTGCCTTCTTATCCACTTACATACAGAGGATCCCAGCACAGACGGTCCCACAGTGATCATAGATATATACAAGTACGGGGAAAAACACCAAACCAAAAATAGCGACAGTGTAAATCAGGTTTAGCAGCTCTTCTTGCTCAGTGCACTTGCTAACTGGGGCGTCTTCAGCTGCTTCTTGGGTGGTTCTCTAGTAGCAATACCGATACAATTTTAATTTTAATTTAATTTAAAAAACTATTTATCCCAGAATCAAAATAAGAACGATCACCGTAAAATCCTTCCTCTACGAATAAGAACACAAGCGTTGGCCATCCGAAGACACAAGCGTCGGCCATCCGAAGACGGTGGCAGTGTAGAAAGCAGCCTCTAAGATACCCAAACCGGTACACAATAGCTTCCAACACGTGGATTGTGCCATGTCGATCACCCCGTGCAAAATGAAACGAGTTAATGTCCTGGGGCCGGTTTCACAAAGCAGTAGTTAGTTAGAACAACTAACTACTGAACTACCTCGCTAACGAGCAAACTTAGCGATTTTCGAGGGGTGTTTCACGAAGCAGTAGTTAACTTATCGCTAAGTTCAGTCTTAAAGTTCGGTCGTTAGTTCTCTCGTTACTCACCGTAGTCTCGAAACCGTCTGCCGGAAGTGGAACTCTTGCGTAAAAATGTCACGAAAGCACTAACTCTCCAATTTTGGTGGCTGGAAAAGCATAAGAACGTCTGCTTTGAGGTCGTCGTAAAGGATCTCCACCACCTTTTTGCCGCTCTTTTTGTCACAGCTAGGCGCAACCTCTCGTAAATTGCATCATCGTGTGTATATTCTAATAGATTTTGCCTTTCATGAAAACGTCGTAGTCTACGTTGCCGTCTGGCGGTACGGATAGCAAAAAAGGTAGCCGCCATATTGGATACAAAGACAAACGACAGACAACGGTAACTAAGCAACCTTTTTATTTCACTCATTACGCATGCGTACGATGAAACTCCAGAGTTAGCGACTGGTCTGACCAGTCGTTAATTATCCAAGTCAACAACGAGACAATAACGAGCGGGAGAAGTAGCGATTGCTTCGTGAAACAGCACTCATAACTAGCGAGAGGCTAACTTCCGATCGCTAACTAACTACTGCTTTGTGAAACCGGCCCCTGTCCTGGAAGTCGGCCGGGTTGAGAGTTTCTCGGGTCATTCACTTGGACCGGTAGCACCAATCGTAGCAAAGACGTGGCGGTTACGTGCAAATTACTCCATTGTAAAACGATATGTGTGTGAGTTCGACAAGCATTTGCACTCAGCTGGAGTTAACGTAAGACTTAACTATGTCATCAATCTACGCCTGCCTTGTTGGAGATGTACCCTGGTATGTCGGTCGTAGCTGGGCCGTAGCTTGTTTTCTAAAGGATCCCCTGGTTCTTTTTAAAATGACTGAGACTACAGATCACTGTGTTGCCACTATATCGATATTGCCTCTAGATCTCCCGTTAACCGGGACATCCTTCCTAGAAGACCTCAGGTGTAGTCATAAAGGGTGTGTGACCTCTCTACCTGACCTGCGTGCAAATCTAGGGTCATGAAGAGCGGTTCAGGTGGAGGAAAGAAAATGCTCGATTGCAACACTTCCAGGATAGCGAGGGTTGTGCAGTGGGCTTAAACAGGGAGAGCACGCGGACGCAATATTTATTCAGTTTTCCGATTTCCTATCTCATTCAAAATATGTTAACATTAAAGTTTTGAATGCTCATTTTTTTCTAAATACATTTTGTTTCTGTTTAATTTATATGATTTATTTTGTGCAAAGTTCAAGATCTGTCTCAGACATAATGATGAAATTTAAGTGCTATATGTTTTTACTTTATCTACCACAAATGGTATGTTATGTATTTGTACCTATTATTGATAATATCCGTAGAGATGATGCTGTAAAATTAAATGGGAATCTAATATTGAAATACTTTTTAAGCAGAATGTTTTTCGGGTATACTCTGATTTTTTTCATTTCCAATTTTTTAAAGTAAGGTATTGTTAATTGAACCAAGTTTCAGAATATTTAACATGAAACAAGNGCATAAGAACGTCTGCTTTGAGGTCGTCGTAAAGGATCTCCACCACCTTTTTGCCGCTCTTTTTGTCACAGCTAGGCGCAACCTCTCGTAAATTGCATCATCGTGTGTATATTCTAATAGATTTTGCCTTTCATGAAAACGTCGTAGTCTACGTTGCCGTCTGGCGGTACGGATAGCAAAAAAGGTAGCCGCCATATTGGATACAAAGACAAACGACAGACAACGGTAACTAAGCAACCTTTTTATTTCACTCATTACGCATGCGTACGATGAAACTCCAGAGTTAGCGACTGGTCTGACCAGTCGTTAATTATCCAAGTCAACAACGAGACAATAACGAGCGGGAGAAGTAGCGATTGCTTCGTGAAACAGCACTCATAACTAGCGAGAGGCTAACTTCCGATCGCTAACTAACTACTGCTTTGTGAAACCGGCCCCTGTCCTGGAAGTCGGCCGGGTTGAGAGTTTCTCGGGTCATTCACTTGGACCGGTAGCACCAATCGTAGCAAAGACGTGGCGGTTACGTGCAAATTACTCCATTGTAAAACGATATGTGTGTGAGTTCGACAAGCATTTGCACTCAGCTGGAGTTAACGTAAGACTTAACTATGTCATCAATCTACGCCTGCCTTGTTGGAGATGTACCCTGGTATGTCGGTCGTAGCTGGGCCGTAGCTTGTTTTCTAAAGGATCCCCTGGTTCTTTTTAAAATGACTGAGACTACAGATCACTGTGTTGCCACTATATCGATATTGCCTCTAGATCTCCCGTTAACCGGGACATCCTTCCTAGAAGACCTCAGGTGTAGTCATAAAGGGTGTGTGACCTCTCTACCTGACCTGCGTGCAAATCTAGGGTCATGAAGAGCGGTTCAGGTGGAGGAAAGAAAATGCTCGATTGCAACACTTCCAGGATAGCGAGGGTTGTGCAGTGGGCTTAAACAGGGAGAGCACGCGGACGCAATATTTATTCAGTTTTCCGATTTCCTATCTCATTCAAAATATGTTAACATTAAAGTTTTGAATGCTCATTTTTTTCTAAATACATTTTGTTTCTGTTTAATTTATATGATTTATTTTGTGCAAAGTTCAAGATCTGTCTCAGACATAATGATGAAATTTAAGTGCTATATGTTTTTACTTTATCTACCACAAATGGTATGTTATGTATTTGTACCTATTATTGATAATATCCGTAGAGATGATGCTGTAAAATTAAATGGGAATCTAATATTGAAATACTTTTTAAGCAGAATGTTTTTCGGGTATACGCTGATTTTTTTCATTTCCAATTTTTTAAAGTAAGGTATTGTTAATTGAACCAAGTTTCAGAATATTTAACATGAAACAAGGAGAATAAGTTAGACTTTTTATTGACAACTTTCGAAAAAAGGCACATTTAGTGTGGTAAGCAGTCGAAATGTATAAAAATAAAGTACACTCAGAACTGGAAATGGTTTGAAGCGATCTTTATTATGTTACTATATCCTCAGTTAGTATATCCTCAGTGTATGAAAAAATAAAAGCAATAATTAAGACTGGATGCAAAACTGCAAAGGACTACAAAACGCAGATGACTCTGCATTTTAGCGTTTTCAGAGGCACATCTTCAGTCAATGATACTTCAATTTAGCAGCTAGAGGCCTAGGCATCACCGCCATTGTCTCAAGAACTGTTTCCCTTATATGTATCAGCGCCAACGACTGGAGGTGGTAAAACACGTAACATACTTGTGAAGCGTCGTTTCTGCTCACGAAAGTCTTGACAAAGAATGGAAGAATCGGTTCTGTTGCTACAGCATCTGTCAAAATTCAAATGCCACTTCTCAACAGTCAGTGACAAATATTTTGTCGTTTCCATTGAGGTAGAAGACAAAAAACCGTTCTATCTGGTAACGTCGTATTGCTAGGACTGCCAGGACTATTAAACAACGTTAGCAGTAAGAAACAATTAAGTACAGTGACTGCCGAGCACGCAGGTCTGCTTCTAACAGGGCACAATTTTTCCCAATATACTGTCTTTCTCCAGATGCATTGTTGAATAGTTTTTGTCCAGTCGCCAAAACAAAATTCCAGCAATACAACAGATACCGCAAGGTCATCACCTGACTCATATTTTGGCTATTATCTACAGATTATAGCTGTTTTTCCTTGTGGAGCGACACCGACGCCAAAGAAGGTAGAAAGGCAAACAGCTGGCGGTGAGACATATTCCCAGAAACAGAACTCCCAACTGCAAAAACAAAAACAAATAATAATAATAATAATAAAAATAATAATAATAATATATATCACGGAGAGGTGTCCTCATCATATATTTGTAAATGTACATGTAATTGTGCCATTCTTCATGATTTCATGGAAAAATGTGACCCTGAAAGATATCAAAATAAAAATGGTCTTAAGTCAACTGTTAGCTGGGCAAAGTAGTCTTCAGTGCCTCGACTTATTTTCCAAAACTAAAAACCGAAATGGTTAAGCTTATAGGAATAAAAGGGATGATAACTCTTCGTATGATAACTATATTTCACAATAAAAAACATTGGAAACAACTCAAAGAAATATAATATATTCTGTTTTACCATAAAAAAAGCAGTTATAGCTATTATTCTGATGTCTGAGCTTATCATCAGACCACGTGACCTCCAAAGATGACTATGCTCTGTAATATTCTCTTAAGAGATTACAACATAAAAAAAAAACTTTGAATGTAGACATGAATTCGATAATCATTGGTAAAAGGCTACAAAGGCTCCTATACCTACCCAGAGAGGGTCACTTTCCAGGCTGTACTTGTACCAAGAAAATATAGGTAATTGAACAAAAGTTAATATATTAGCGACGGAAACTTGAATTCCGTATGCCTTTCCGATATGTTCCTTCGAAAATCTAAAAAAATAAATGATGTGTTGGAAGAATATGTGTCCAGTAATAATTGTGTTTGTATTATCCATGTATACTCCCCTAGCAAAAAAAAGTGTCACCTCTGTCATTTAAGTACACTGGCACATGGGGTAGCCATAGTTTAACTTAACTATCACATTGGTTAACCGATCATCGTGTAAATTGGGGGCGTGAGTAAATTGGATAACTGAATGGTAACAATGCATACATAAATGATCTCATGCTATCTATGCATTGTATATAAAACGCCACTCACAAACACGTCCTCCAATCCTTAGAATACTATATAAATATTAAAATGTGGTTTTGACTTTTTTTACTATGATTAGCCCATTCATTGTTTATAAAATCAGTATATTGAGTGAAACAATCCTTTATAAAAGTTAAATAAAGAACATTGGATTATAACATGATTTTTGTAGCACTGCATTAGGTGTGAATTTTTTTCTGCCGGGGAGTAGTGTTTTACTTGCATTTTTTCACAAGGTACCTTAAGCTATCATTAAGTCTTAATATTCAATAACGCCAACTCACATTTTCAAATTTGGTAACGAGAATACCATTTCTGAAAACTGATAATTAAAATCGCTGACTTCTTTATATATATATATATATATTGAAATAACAAGAATACTAACACGAGCAGGTGTACGCAGATAACAGATCTAGACACTTAACGCGCGTGGTATATTACCAATTAACTCACGTTGTGGTTATGAATGCCAAATGCACGGCGTAACTTCCGGTTTTCAACAGAGAGTGAAACAAAATGGCCACAAACTGCATCTCCATGATGGGGATGATACACGCTACGGAAACGACGATCCCTGCCAATACTGTCAGCGAAAATGGAACCACGAAGCATTGTTCTTTGTCTAGAATGTAAAATTCACAATGATATTTGTACTGTAAAAGTGAATCAGATCTGACTGCGATCTTCGTAAATGTGACGTCCACAAAGATTCATATCCGTTTTATGAATATGCATAGTTTCGTTCATTTGTTTTATTTTGGAAGACTGCGTAGGGTTGGGGCATTTACACTAAGCTGTTCATATAAAGGAATTTCAATGTTTACTTTACTTGTTTACATGCATTATATTTTCGTGATAAACAGCTTTTAAAATACGTAGATTGTCACTTTTTTATATAATATATCAATTTTCTGTCAAGAAAAAAGGCGAACATACTACAAACAAACAAAAAAATGTTTCACTTAAAGATTAGGTTATACCATCATCATGTTAAGTACCGTCGTTGGTTGCCTTGGCAACAAGTTTATCCAGCATCAAACCAGTCAGCAAGGCCCAGAACAGAGAACCCACTTGGAACCAGGAATACACGTCTGTATACGTACTTACTGTAATACAATTTAGATATGATTAAATGAACAATTATGAATAAAAATAAAAGTGTTTGCGAGAGTGGGCCAAATTTCGTTCTTCTCGCAGTTGCAAGCTCATTGCAACATAATCTGAAGTAATATAAACGTAAATGAATTACCTGTGCTTTTGACATTGTTTCCGTAGTAATTGATCAAAGAGTAAAAGCTGCCTCGGTATGTGACAATGAGGGTATGCTGGCACAAAATCCACAACATCAGCATTAAAAAAGTAGGACTTTTAAGAATCAGTAACGAGCCTTGTAAGCAAGTGTTAGTGTCTTTTTCTTCTTCTTCGCTTTTAGATTTTTCTACTTCGCGGACCATGTGTGCACTCCTGTCAACACAGGGTTCCTTGGGATTGACCTCGTCCTCGTTTTGACTGCAAGTTTTATTATCAACATCAAGGTAAGATTCTGTTTGTGGTCGTGTATTTTCGTCCTCTGGTGTGTATGCTACGTTCACAAAGTGTTGCCCATTAATTTGAACTTCTTTAACCTCATCCTTCGATACAAATTTATCAACATCAGCTCGGGTGATCTTGCAATCGACATTTGTACTACTTTCTTTGCACGATGTTGACAATTCTTTGGAACTGTTGTATATTTTGCGTATTTTTAAGCAACAAGCTTTATCAATGTTGTTCCCGTCGTCATCCTGTCTAGGTGGAAGGGTGATTGTGTTGACAGAAGACATTAGAAGCATGATGCCGGTAAAGGTGAACATGCACACTTTGTAGGACACTCCAGCTTGGTATGTCAACTACAAAAGATTGTGACACTTTTACACATAGTCATTAGTGCAGTAAAGGCAATATTTAAAATTTGCTTAAGGTCTTCTTCGCCTAGGACTTTTAGGAAAGAACCAGGATAATTGGTTTTGGAAAAAGATTGCCATATAGACTCTACGTCGCTGAGATGCGTTTTTATATATTTATTGATTATCCATGACCATTTTATGCATTTACAGTTTAAATAAATAATTCAGGCAAATTATCTTACATTTGAAGCTTTTTTTATTAACTGTGCCAGTATAGTGGGTCCTGACCCCCTCCTTCGATTTCAAAGAAATAAATCTCACCAATGGTCCACTCTTGAAATAAGAATTTTGTCTGAATGTATAATAGTTCTAAATCATACCAAATGGCACCGTTCACCCTCTAAATACCAACATTTAAGAGGCTCTTCACCGGGCCACGAACCCCACGCCAAGTGCGGGGGGGGGGGGGGGGGGG